GACGCGCGCAGTCGCTGACCTCGATTCTCCGACGATGCACTAAGGCCGAAGAAGGATTGCACCGTCTCGGTATTTACGGTCTCTGGGGTGAACCCCACCTCCTTCAATCGAAAATAAATATCTCGAAGTCTCTCCAAGGTAGATGGGTTTTTCATCAAAAGCAAAGCAAACGAACAGGACATAAAATACCAATACCTTTATATACTCAAAATTGACGAGCGCCTGATTCTACTGTGGTGTGACACATATAATTCTCTGTGGCACACGTTTCACTTGCCAAAGCTAGGAAGGTAGTTTGGCTTTTTGTTCAGTAAGTGTTTTACGGTGCTCACAACTGCATAAGGTCATATTATTATGAGCGCGCGGGACACATTAAACATTTTCCGCTGGTAGGAAATTTTGAATTTTGCCCGGATGGCGGCCGAAGCCTACTCTATCGATTTTGGACCACCAAGGGATCTTTAACGTGTGCAATTGCAAATGAGATCTCCTTGATTTTTTGCCCTTTCCCGAGAAGGCTAGGTGTAGATCTAGCCTACCATAAGATCGCTGGTGTGGCTGAAACACAGCAGTAAGAAGCCAAGGAGTAGCAGTAGAAAGGCTGCAGAAAGTGTCCGGAGCCCAGAGAGGGAGTAAAGGAGTTGAGGAGGTGAGAACAGAAAGTGAAGACGAAAGCAGACGACAGAACTTTGTTAGAGAGCAGGAAAGGATGTGAAAGGAGAACATTTTAGAAAAGAATATGTTCCGTCCCTATCCGGATTCAAACCCACAATCTATTGAATGAGAGGCAAACACCATTTATAAGCTCTCTCTAGACCACGAGAGCCTCCTGTTACTATCAGCTGAGTCGAGTGGCGCTTAATTTCCCACGTGATGTCTTTACTCGTGAAGTACCCGTTGAGCAACATGGAGCATCACTTAGCCTAGGTTCATCATTGTTTACATTGGCTGGACGTCCCTGGATTCAGAGGGAATGGTTAATGAATATTTCAGGCGTTGTCCGGATACCTAATTGGTAGGACTGTTCAGCAGCCTCGGCTGTAGGCTAGACCTCTCTTGGGTATCCTGTCCTTGTTGCTCCAAATAAGCGTGCACCCACTGCAGAGACAAAATCTCCTCTTCAAAGTTTTCCTCCCTCCTCCTCCTCCTC